ATCTCTTTATAGAGATAACATCTAGAGATTTATTTTATCTCTTTATAGAGATAACATCTACAGATTTATTCTCTTAATATAGAGATAACATCTAGAGGTTTATTCTGTCTCTTTATAGAGATAACATCTAGAGATCTATTCTCTTAATATAGAGATAACATCTACAGATTTATTCTCTTAATATAGAGATAATATCTAGAGATCTATTCTATTAATATAGAGATAATATCTAGAGATTTATTCTATCTCTTTATAGAAATAACATCTACAGATTTATTCTCTTAATATAGAGATAACATCTAGAGGTTTATTCTATCTCTTTATAGAGATAACGTCTTAAAATATATTTCATCTTTCTATAGAGATAACATCTACAGATTTATTTTATCATTTTATAGAGGTAACATCTTGGGGTTTATTCCATCTTTCTATAGAGATAGCATTTAGAGATATATTCTATCTTTCTATAGAGATAACATCTACAGATTTATTCTATCATTTTATAGAGGTAACATCTCGAGGTTTATTCCATCTTTCTATAGAGATAGCATCTAGAGATATATTCTATCTTTATATAGAGATAACATCTAGAGATTTATTCTATCTTTCTAGAGATAACTTCTAGATATTTTTTTTTTATTCCACCTTTCTAAAGAAATTTATTTCTACTTTCAATAGAAATAACATTTGGGGATATATTCTTTCGTACTATAGAGATAACATCTAGAGTGTTAACATAAACGTTTCTTTAGTGGTAAAATCTAGTGATTTTTTCTCTCTTTCTAAAATGTATGTACATTAAGTACATCGTGAAGAGAAAAATAATGTGAAACTTGGTGTTTTACCGATATATTTTGTACAGAGAAAACGTATTTCTGATGATATTTAAAATAGTGACTACAGAAGGTAGCAATAACTAACTTGTAACAACTGATATTGACTGACATATCCCAATTAAAGCCAATACATCAACTTTAAAATCTACTAAAATTGTTATACGATAGTAATTGCTCTTGACTTCTAACCTTCTTTCAAACTAAACCTTTCTTTTCTCAGTTTCCCTTTTCATAACCAGGCCCATTACCCACTTCTAATTGAATTACTGTGATCAAAGGGTTAACAATAGGGTATCAGTTCGCCCTGTTAATCTAACTTTGTTACGGTTCGTCTTGTTTAACCCTGGTGTTATACAGAATGGTCAATAGATAGCATTATCATCCCATCAACTTAAGAACTGTGTCCGAAATCAATGGACCAAATGTAATAATCTAATTCGGTTCAATGACGCATACAAAGCCGCCGAGTTGGCTGTGAAATGTTGAAGTTAGGTTACCAACGCTCATAATTTTGCAATTTGATGCAAGTTTTCATAATATTGTTACACCTTTTTCAACAAATCTGAAAATTCATCTATTGTTGTGAATGACTAGAACCCAATGCACATTAAAAGAAACTAATATATTAATCAAGTTAAACTAGCCAAAAGAGTTAGACCCTGTATTTCAAGAGCTTCTTTTCACAAATTATCCTAGGTTTTGACAATTCATTTAGCATACTGCTGCAACTAATTCCGTTTTTTAAAGCAGATCCCAATATTTGAGACTGACCAGCTATTTATATGGACTGTGAAATAAACCTCATAAAATAGAATGTAACAGATGAGCATCTTCATGTTGTGTTATTTTGATCTGGTATGCTCGATGTTAACAAGATAACAAATTACTTTACCACTGCAAAATTTCGAATTTAAACTGAATACATTTTAGATATGAACTGTATCATGGCCATATTCCAAAATGAGCAATAGAAAAGCATCATACTTCCGACAAATTTGATCTAAAGGTAAGGGCGATGAATTATACATGTACCGTAATAGAAATCTTCTGAAATGTCAACGGGAATATGGAATCGGTACCTTTGTGTCTCAGAAACTGTTAATTACAATGACAAACCAGAGAGCCTAGACTAAACAATACATAGGTAGATCACTTTCGGTAAAGTTATGATTATATAATATAATAATTGCTCAAGGGGGTCTAATAAACAGTAGATACAGCATATAACAAATTAGTGTCATATATTATGATATGACGATATAGATGTAATGGGATATTGATATACCCCTATCTATATCTTATTGACAAGTCTTCTGATAAATAAACAACTAATAATAACAATAATATGGGCTAATTAACATATAGCTCTTAGCTATTACAAATTAATAACATCTTTATCTCGGTAATTTCATCAGTTTCTATTGTAATAGAAATCTCAAACATTGTGTCAATTCTACAGATATTCTTATGCCAATTTTATCAATAATAGATATCATTTCTAAAAGAAGGGTGGAGGTGCGGTATTTACTCAAGCAGAATCTGAAACTGGATTTTTAATGACTTTTTGCGACTGGTGGAATCTGAGAGAATGAAATCAAATGTTTGATTGGGTTGGCACCGTGTACCAAGGAACAAAAAATATCAATGACCGCTAGTTCCTCATATTTTACCAGATGGATAGGGATTTTTGTCATTCTCATTTTCAGCGGTGGAAACCTGTGAACATGCATTTGGTATCAGCTGTTAGCAGTCCGCCTGTCAGCGTTCCGCTCATTGTAGAAGTTGACGGATCCAATGAAATGTTTTGAATCACCAATCTGAGCTACCTTGAAAATATTTAAAAGTATTTATCTGAATGTTTAGTATGACCTGCCCATAGCTTTGGCAATGATGCAAATTTCCATGCAAATCTGAAAAAAAAAATCCATAAACAACAAGGCTACAAATTTTAGGTATTGCGTTTTACTAAACTTAATGAAGTTTCACGACAGGAAAGGAAAAGCCAAGGAGCAACTATAAATGAATAACTAATAATATGGTATCAACTGAAGTTGAAGCTCTTAGATTAGAATGAAAAGCCAGGCCCACGCCAACTTCAATACTGTTTATCTGATACCCCTTATTACCAAGATATCTGAAGTATACCAAGCCTGTAGATTGCCTCTGGATAAAGAGATTTAGTTATGAATGAAATGTTCTAAAAGTCATCATTTAATTTAATACAAGTTTGACATTTTTATGATCATAATTAAGAAAAAGTACAAAAGATAAAATTATCAAATAACTGAGATAGATTCTCGCGTGTTTTGGACAGTTCAGATTTCAGCTACCTTAAAAACAAAATACCACGAGTTAGGTCGAAAATGTTTCAGAATTTCTGTAAATTTCTGTTCTTCTCGCCCAGGTGCAGAACAGTAGGACATAAAACTCCATTTCATTTGATTTTTATTAGTAATTGCAATCTTGTTCCTTCAAATTTACTTTGTATTTTTCCAAACGAGTGGGCAAAACTGGGAAATTTAAAAGTGAAATGTTGTTGAATAAAGAACGAGGGCTCAGATTCTTTTGCAATCGTGTTCGTTTAACTCACTTTCGGTAGAGATAAATTCCCCAGGTTTGCAAGTGACGCAAATACCATACTTTACATAAGCAGAGAGTAAAGTGTGTTTACTGTTTTTACATAAGATATTCCCTGTTTTGTCTGGATTTACCTATAATAAAGAAGGTAAATCCGATGATGATAATGTAAATTGTTGCAATAAAATTGTGGTCCGTTACATAATAAAAATAAGGAAATCCGATCAAATTTATTATGAATATTTGAAATTTATGTTTGTTTGTTGAGAATTATTACTATTATTGTTGACGAAAAACAAGGAGTAGTCAATGTGATATCAGTTTTCTCAAACTAACCTCAAAATTTGAGACTCAAATAACAATCTGTAAATAGTTAGCTGCGGCGCCAACAGGCAATAAATTTTCCCTTTCCTCTATTGGTTAATTCTAAAGAAGCGCGTTCCAGTTGATAGAAATTGTTCTAATGAGATAAAATAGTTAAACAACATGAGACGAATTGTTCACTTTATAATATCACATTGAACTCACTTCAAATAAATCTAAACAGGAGGCGGGGCAGTTCTCCTAGATCAAACTCTTGTCGATTTGGCTACGTGCTAATTATTTTCTGAACTACTGCCTGTCAATCATAATAAATTGGTCAATGAGCGGTCGTGTAACGGCTATTAGGGCGCCATTTAATGTTATCTTATCACTAAATAACAACCAATGAGAAAGAGTTATGATAGTTAACGTATTTGAGAGAATAACAAGTGCACGCGGGGATGAAGTATAAGATGACAAACATGGTTCAGTGAAATTTATTTCTTGTAAACTCTTCATCAAGTTATAACTCAAACAATATTATTTAACAGTTACGGATATTTATAAGTTTGCCAGAATATAAATAAATATTTAAAAATGGCGTCAGATCGTGAGGAGAGATTGTCAGTAGCAGACGAATTATCGGAAAATGAATCAGATATTCATAGTGATTCCAGTCGCAGTGTGTCACCAGAAATGGAAGATTTACCAAAACCACAACCTCAAAGGCTTTCATTTGGAATGGAATCCATTATAAATTCAAAAGACAGTAAAAGAACCAAAAATTTCACCGATTCACAAGAACTGTCGCGTCATATATTGGACGTTCCTCGTGCTATAAATAAATTCAGTATGGAATGTATTTTGAGTAAACCGGATAGTGTCCAGAAACCTTTATCACCTCCAATTTTAGAGAAGCCGTCACCATTATCACCACCTTCATGGCCTAGTGAATGTTTTTCTAAATTACCGTGGTCACTCACTTCACCTGTTTCCTTCAGACACAGTAAGTTTGATATTTTTGTTTTCATTATAACTATCATTTAAATTTTTGATAAACACATAGTTATGTTGTTGCTTTATGATTAATAATGACGGTTGTGTCGGTTTTGTTTGGTTTAAATTTGTCAAAACCAAAATGGATTTGGTATTTAAATGCTATAGTATGTTGAAACTGAATAAACTAGATTTAAATATTCCCTTTGTGAATAAAATTGCTAAATGCATATATTTCACCCAACCACCTTTAACGATTAGCATATTTTCTAAAGATAAGTTTAATTTATGCTTGCAGGTCCACCATCGCCGCCAAGAATGCCAACTAAAATCGGTACGTTACGAAAACACAAACCAAACAGAAAACCACGAACACCATTCACAACAGCGCAGTTGCTGGCACTAGAGCGTAAATTTAGACAAAAACAATATCTGTCAATAGCAGAAAGAGCAGAATTTTCAGCATCATTAAATCTCACAGAAACACAAGTCAAAATCTGGTTTCAAAACAGAAGAGCAAAAGCAAAAAGACTCCAGGAAGCAGAATTAGAGAAATTAAGGTTCGCTGCCAAACCAATGTTACCACCATTATTTGGTATTAATATATCAGCAGGCGCTGCAGGACTTTATAATTCATATTTAAATTATGTTGGTTTACCTAGTCATGGCTTATCGCCCTTGAATATTTATGGACCTTCGACGTCTTTACCTCATTAAACTTTATTTATGTAATGACTCTTATCGATTGAAATCAATTTTAGTCAAAAGTGTAGTTCTAGTTTCGTGGTGAATCAGACCGAACCATTCATACTGGTGGACAGGGACAAAGTTGGTGCAAGAACTGTAAAGTATCACCGAAGGGTGCACCAGGTACATGGGTTAGAGAAAGTGACTTTACGTATATTGAAATTGTTATGGTTGTTTTTGATAGTTTTATTTATTGAAAAACAGTAATAGTGCTTAAATAATGTTACATCATCCTGTGAACATTTCTTTTTATCCGATTTCTTTGATTTTAAACAGTTTTTCTGAACAAGAAAAAATAAATCCTTGACACAGATGAATGAGTAACTTATGATTTTCTTTGCTCTTTATTTCTGATTGCTGGCAGATTCGTTCTATGCTCATACAACATTTCTAGTTACTTTAAGAGATTAGAGTGGATTTAAAAAAAATAGCAGCAAAAAATAATACTCCTAGACTGAAATTATTACGTCTAGGTGTTAAAATTAAAATTGTTTTGTTTTTTGTTAATTCTTTTTATATAAGTAATTGTAAAAATACATTGTTGTATAAATATAAAACATTTAAATCCATAGTCATTGGACTCTAAATGATGTATTCTTTTTTAATGATTAGAAAATAATAATCCTGGGTGCTACAGAAGACAGGACATATTCTGAATAAAACCTAAAGGCTTTATAGAAATTTTTGAGAATATTTGCATTTTTGACAAAAGCTTTCTCACAGCATTAGTTTTTCACTACCCCAGCAAAAGGGTTTAGAATTTGGATATTTGTTCCATGGTTTCAATTAAACATCACGAAAAGAGGAGGACACTCTACATCGTTTTATTAAGAGATATTTTCAAAACTAGTATGTGTATCTGCGACAATGATAGCATCGATAAAAGCAATTAACTGAGGTCATCAAACGATTTATTTTAGTGGAATTGCAAGACCCACAGACTTGAAATTTGATCGTGCAAATCTATGCAATAAGTGTATAGATTGACATAGTTCTCGATGATACCTTTTCAGAACCATAACGGTTATAAGAGAGAAAAACCGTTGGTTTTCTAAAATAAACGACATATATTTCTGTTGAAGTTCCCATCTTACAGAATATAATGTACCAATGACGAACTGCTGAGATCCAACTGTTTATCTGAATGAAGAGTTCGTCGCCACGGTTATAATTGTTATGTTTCTGTGGTATATATATTTGGTAATCATCAGAATGTTTGCAAGGGAATTCAGTGGTCATAACTTTACCTGCTTTACCAGTGTTACTTATTACACCTACCAGTAACAATTTTCAGAATGTTTTATACTTTAATAGACCAGAAAGTAAGTAAGGTTATCATCCAGCCAAATGTTCCACATCTTCTAGGACGAAGTATGAAAATTAATATTTCAAGCTTAAAAGTGACAATGTAGATTCTCAGTTGCCTAGATTTTAACAGCTTACTCTACTTGAAGAATAACTATTCAAATTTGTTATTCTTTGAATTAAAAATGTAAGAATCCAAATCGCATAAGGAATAACAACAACTTAACAATAACAATGTAGATTTCCAGATTATCTACCATTCTCTGTTTTAAAGATAACAATTCAAATTTGAGGCTTAAAATTACATTGTGGATGATCTCCTAGAGCACGATAGATAACAATTAATTTTTTTTAGCTTTGGATATAACAATCTTGGTTATCAGTTACCGAGATGTTCTGGAATACTTTAAGTGTAAATTAGTTTAACAATATTTCATGAATATTTCATCCCTTCTTTCTTAACATCAATTAAAGACAATTAATAAAATAATATTTCTTTAACAATTCTCTTTCTATAACAGCAATTATTTTCGTCATGCCTCGACTGCCTAATTATATTGATATTTCTAAATCATTGAATAATTCATAGACGTTGATAGACTTCTATACAAATCATAGTCCATTAATTAACAAATCTTATTACCAAGTTTTTCTATCTTATGTTGAGATATTCAGCTTCATTTACATTCAAAGACATTCATGTCTTCGAGGTTCTTTGAGTCTCCATTTAAAGATGTTTGACAAAACGTTATTAAGAAGCAATTACAAAAGACTTGTAAAATATTTAATAAAAACTGTTGTCAACTATAACTAATGTGTCTTTACAAATTTTTTCTTGTCTTGTCAAATTAATTGCAAAATCTTACAAACTATTCAAGGGAAAAGATAACTAATTAGAACATTTTTTTTACTTATCATTTTCAAGTACTTGCCACGTGTTTTAGTACTTTTTAATACCTAAATTTATTACAGTCATTTAGTAGAAGTACCTATTCTATGACATTAGTACTTAAATTATGGTTGTGACATGACTTAATGGGAATTTTTCAAAATTAATTTGACTTGCCATAAAATTTTGAGTGTATTTTGTTAATTTTTCCGTTTATATTTTTATTTAAAACAAAACCTTATTGTACAGTTAATGACATAATTTTTGAGTGTCACAAAATACCTGGACACCTGATTCCGTAAAATCACCATAGCGTGACCGAATCTACCTAATTTTGTATCTATATTAAGAGAAAAACACGTTGACATACTTTGTTAAAGGAACTGTTTCGTCATTTTCGGCAGATGGGGATTGATTTGAGTCTTTAATATATGTAAATAGTCTTCAGAACTACTAGAAATATACGAAAATCGCATAATTCCTTCAAGCGATGGATTTTACTTTTCTCAAGCAAAAGACGAGTCGTTATTTTTTCAAACGCGGCTAATTCTAAACACAGATGGATTTGGGGTCTCAAATTTTGAAGGTGAACTGTGAACACTATTACTGATTGGTTTTCCTAAAAAAAAGTTATTTTTGTTTCTGAAACTGAGGTCAAACGGATGGAGAACATGTCCCTTTCAAAGCATAGCCCCAAATGACGTTCTTGAAGGTTAACTTGCCATATCGTACTTAATGAGGTAGTTGGAATAAATTAAAAGCATTTTACCTGTTGGCTTGATGCAGTGTGCAGTGAGGTAAATTTGACGCCCTACGACCAAAATCTCACACCACAGTTAACAGCCTTCGTTTTCGTGCAATTGTTAATGACATTGGATAGAATCACAAAGTACTAATTGAAAGAAAACCGCTGCAATTTTTATAACTAATTCGTTGAAATAATTGTTATTTTATGAAGTAATGATCTTTAAGAGATCATTTAAGCACAAGATATTACCTGAAAAGTCAACAATAAGCTAAAGGTAACTTGGTACGAATTATCGGAAAAAATTTTTATACGCAACCCATGCACGTGTAAAGAGAAATTATCAAAAGAAAATGACAATTTCCGGAAATGACGTAAACCGTAAAATACTCATTACTGACCACATACCGGAACATGATTTTCCTAATCAAATACAATTAAAAAGTGAGTACTTAAACACAGTAAATGGATTGTGTTCTATTACGGAAGTGCCGCCATGTCTAATCTAATTTTCAAACATGAAACGAAGCATAATTTTCAGGATGGATTTTCAAAGGTGCATATTAGTTCTACCACACGTGTGTTCAATTCATCGAGAAAAAAAACAATACAAAATCAGCTTAGTGCGAAACAATGCCAAAAGACAACACGTACTTAAAAGTAATTTGCTCGAATGAAATTCAAGTAACAAAAATTTGCCTTATGGAATAGTATCCTAAATGCAAAAGACTATGACGTATGTTTAATGGACCTAATAATCGGAAAGCAGTTACTATTTAAATTATACTGTACTTGGACACAAACCAATAAAATGCCTAAAGAGATCGAAACTTTGAAATAATGTGATAACAACACTCTAACAACAATAATTATTATTCTTTTAAAATAAACCTCAATTACTAATCATTTTTCAGTCTAATTTCCCATTTTACACTTCATTTCATCTTATTAGTGAAAAGTGATAATATGTTGAATATTGTCGTACCGTGCCTTCAGGCTCTATACCCACTCTTTGATCACTTCACCGACCAATCATCGAATGTGTTTCAAATTTCCAAGGGGTCCCCAGATAATATCGCACGGTAAATAATACACCGATTTGAAAAAGCGGCCTATTAAAAAAGTCTTTGATTAGGTGCCTATCTCTCGTCTAATCGTAATTGTTTTTAATTAGAGACTTAGGGCAATGAATAATGTGTCAATGGCCTTAATTTTCGAGTGTCTTTATCATAAAACTTCTAAATAATTGGTTAAAACGATCTAGGTTTCAAACACAATTAGATTGCTTATCGACTGTGTTTAAAAGTTAAGTCCCATAGGTTTTGCACCAAACTGTTTGAAATATTAAGCTGACATCATTTTAATATATACATATATACTCGAAATGGCCAATGTATGTTTATTCATAAAACGTTGACCACCTGCGCTACGGAAAAGGATAGCCCTGCCAAAAGTGGGAATCAAACGCTTACTGCATTGTTTTCCCTGGTGGTGCTCCTTCTCAACTGTCCGAAACGTAACAATTGCAGGTGTTTTGAGACGGTTAATTTAGATATCTAGTTATTTTACCTTACTTTTCAAAAATTTGAAACCTTACAGCCTTAAACTATTTCATATCCTTCAGCCTTTACCTTTTTCAGATTTCTCAGACTTAAACCAGTTCATATCCTTAAGCTTGAAACTATTTCAGATTCTCAAGTCTTAACATTTTTTCAGATCCTGAAGATCTTTTTTCAGAGCCTGAAGCCTTAAACTATTATAGATCCTGCAGTCATAACCTATTTCAGATTCTTAAGACTTAAACTATTTCAGATTCGTAAGACTTATTTCATAACACTATTTCAGGTCCTTTAGCCATGAAGGGTAAGAAGGCGTGCTACATTCCTTTTCAAACCATTGATGAAGAACAATCTTATTGTGTGGTCATCACCAGAGGTTTAGATAAAATCGCATAGAAGCGTTGATTTAATGAATTGATCTGTAGAAACAGAACACATTAGACTTGTCTCAAGACATTTAATATCAATAAAA